CAGCCGCGCTTTCACAACCCAAGAGCAAGCACGGACAGATAGATCTTGGCAATCTGTCCACACATCTTTGATTCCTATTTGAGGACACAGGGAATGAGGTTGACTCCTTCAAGCCCTGACAATCGGTCTGCAGGAAAGATAGGTCCTCAGCTGACCAGGGCAGCGGACAACGCCATCCCGGTCTTGGGGAAATTTCTACTATCTGGTAGGATATCAATGTGTGAGGACTGGGTGAAAAAATAAGCTAGAACGAAAGACAAGAAGGGGTGTGGCCATGGCTGACTGGGTCGAAGGGGGTCCCTCCAGCCTGGTCCCCATAGCAACTCAGAATGTGATCTTCCTGGGCATATAGGGTCTTGGGAGATAGAATTCCTTAAGAAGAGGTTAACTGGGGTAGGGTGGGCTCAGAGTCCATGGGTGTCCTGATAGGAAGAGGGCTGTGAGGATCTACACAGACACACGGAGGGGAAAGGAGGACTTGTGAAGACGGATGGAGAAATGGGAGTATGTGGCCACTAGGCAAGAGCACCAGGGATTTTTGGCAAAAACCAGAAGCCAAAAGAGGGGGTAGGGTTATAGTTAGGGTTAGGGTTAGGGTTAGGGTTAGGATTAGGGTTAGTGATAGGGTTATAGTTAGGGTTAGGATTAGGGTTAGGGTTAGGGTTAGGGTTAGGGTTAGGGTTAGGGTTAGTGTTAGGGTTAGGGTTAGGGTTAGGTTTAGGGTTAGGGTTAGGGTTAGGGATAGGGTTACGATTAGGGTTAGGGTTAGGATTAGGGATAGGGATAGGGTTAGGGTTAGATTTAGGGTTAGGGTTAGGGGTAGTTTTAGGTTTGTGGTTAGGGCTAAGGTTAGTGTTAGAAATAGAGTTAGGGTTAGGGTTAGAAATTAGGGTTAGGATCAGGTTAGGGTTAGGTCAGGTTTAGGGGTAGCGTAGGGTTAATGTTAGGGTTAGGGTTAGAGTTAGGTTAAATTTGGGGTTAAGTTAGAGTTAGGGTTAGGATTTGTGTTAGGGTTAGGGTTAGTTTTTGGGTTCGGGTAGGGTTATGGTTAAGATTAGGGTTAGGGTTAGGGTTAGGGCTAAGGTAGGGTTAATATTTGGGTTAGGGTTAGGGTTAGGGTTAGGGTTAAGGTTAGGGTTAGGGTTAGAGTTAGGATTATGGTTAGCATTGGGGTTAGGGTTAGGGTTGGAGTTAGGGGTAGGGTTAGAGTTGGGTTAGGGTTAGGGTTAGGGTTAGGGTTAGGCTTAGGGTTAGCATTGGGGTTAGAGTTAGGGTTAGGGTTAGGGTTAGCGTTAGGTTCGTGTTAAGGTTACCTTTAGGGTTAATTTTATGGTTCAAGTAGGGTTAGGCTCAGAGTTGGCCCCTATGCACTCCAAAATCACCACGGAGCTAAACATCAACCCTGCTGTGCTCAGCTCACTTGGCCCTGACTCAGACGTCTCAGCTAGCGCCCCGCCCACCCAGACAGTGTGTCTGGGACCTCTGGGCTCCAGAACCAGAGAACGTGTTATATCTGGTTTACATCACCCTGTGCTGGGTGCATTTTTCGGGCATTCCTAGGAAAGGAATACACATGCTGGAGAGGAATGAGGTCACACCAGTTTCCATCTGATCTATCTACAGGGTCAGGTGAGGTGCTTTTGGTCAATCCTTCTAGAACTTGGCCAGGGCGCCAGGCAATGGAGGAGTTGCCCCAACACGAAACCAGCCGTAGATAGAGCCGCATCTACAAGGCAAATAATGTCCTACGTCTCCCACACTCTCCCTGGGTGTCGTCTCCACCTGGGCTGTGGGGTGAAGACGATGCTAATGATCAGCTTCCTCCAGGTCCCTGAATAAAGGAGAAGTGGTGCCTACACTCAACAGAACTTGGGTTGGCCCTAAAAACGAAGAAGGGGATCTTAACCATTTGCGACAACATGGATGGACCGAGAGGGTATTGTGCTAAGTGACTTGAGTCAGACGGAGAAAGATGAACACCATGTAATTTCACTTAGATGTGGAATTTAAAAACCAAATAATAATAATAATAATAAAACAAGTAAGCCCTGACCAGTTTGGCTCAGCGGATAGAGCGTCGGCCTGCGGACTGAAGGGTCCCAGGTTCGATTCTGGTCACGGGCATGTACCTTAGTGGCAGGCTGGCTCCCTGGCCCTGGTCGGAGCCTGTCAAGCACACAGGCCTGGTTTGGGGGCTTGATCCCCAGTGGGGGGCGTGCAGGAAGCAGCCGATCCGTGATTCTCTCTCATCATGGATGTTTCTCTCTCTCCCTCCCTCTCCCTTCCTCTCTGAAATCCATAAGAAATATATATTTAAAAAAAATAAAATGAAAGACCTGGATATTTGAAACAAAACAAAATCCTTTATAACCTTCATCAAGTCTACGTAACAATCAAAGACGCCGGCTCTCCCTCGGGCGTATTGCTTGTCAAGATCAAATTGCTCACCGTTGCTGGCAAACACCTGTTTTTCCGTCAGCTTTCACTCCTGCCCGTAATGCCTCCCTTCAGCTTGCTGCTACTGATGGTTCAAGATTTTGGCAAGACACTGTTTCCTCAAGAATACCTTCTTGGAAAGTCCCTACAGTAGAGACGGGTACGGCCCGAGACCCGTGGCCGGCCAACTGCGGCTTGCGAGCCACGTGCGGCCCTCTGGCCCCTTGAGTGTGGCTCTTCCTAAGCCTTAGGAGTCCCCTCATGACGTCAATCACAATGGACCTGCCTATAGAGTTTAAGTTTAAAAGATTTAGCTCTCCAAAGAAATTTCAACCGTTGTCCTGTGGATATTCGGCTCTGTTGACGAATGAGTTGGCCGGCCACGGACCTAGCTTCTGTCTCATCGCATGTTCATACAGATAGCCTTCCCTCGATGTGTCGTAAGTTATCTGTGAAGTCCAGATTTCAGGGTAGCAGCTGATCGAAGAAAGATAAAGCCCCGATTCATGTCGCAAGAGCAAGTGGGGAAAAAAAGAAATACGTGTTCAACGCCTTTAACTCAAAGAGAAGGTGTGTCTTCTAGTTGGAGCTTAATAGTGACCCAAATACCTTTTTGACAGGTCACCTACTCTGGGACAAGCTCTTTGATTTATAATTTCTCCGGTCGCTCTCTCCCCTCCCAGGGAAACAATGAGATGGTCAACTCTTACTGCAGATCTTAGTTCCAGCAAATAGAGCTCTCAGTGTGCACGAATATACGAAAGGTCTACGCATTGCAGATGAATTAGGCCAATTTCAGAGTTGGTGCTGAGTGAAATAAGCCAGACAGAGAAAAGACAAGTCCAACACGATCTCACTTATAGGTGGAATCTCATGAATAAAACAAACAAACAAACAAACAAAGAGTGGAGATAGACGCACGGATACAGAGAACCGACTGAGAGCTGTCAGAGGGGAGGAGGGAGAGGATTGGGTAAGTACTTGAAGGGATTAAGCAAAGAAAGCTCATGGGTACAGGCAGCAGGATGGAGATTATCAGGGGTAAGGAAGGGAAGGGGGAGGGAGGAGGGAAAGGGTGAACCCTGTATAATTTTATTAATCAACTAGAGCCCCGGTGCACAAAATTTGTGCACATGGCATGGGGTGGGGATCTCCCTCAGCCTGGATTGCAAGAGGGTGCAGGCCAGGCCGAGGGACCCCACTGGGCATGATCAGGGCTGGGGAGGGATCTGGGAGGTTGGCCAGCTGGGGAGGGGACCGTGGGAGGGGTCTAGGCTGTGTCCAGCCCGTCTCACTCAGTCTGAATGGGCTGGACTCCAGCATCAAGCTCACCTACTGGTCAGAGCGTCTTCCCCCTGGTGGTCAGTGCAGGTCATAGAGAGCATTTGAACGGCCTCAGCATATCATTAGCATCTTACGCTTTGATTGGTTGAATGGCCGACTACGTGACCGGACACTTAGCATATTAGGCTTTTATTATATAGGATGTCACCTGAATAAGTTCAATTTTAAAAAAAGAGAGTTTGGCCCAGTCAGCATGGCTCAGTGGTTGAGCATTAACTTATGAACCAGGGGGCCACTGTTCGATTCCTAGTCAGGGCACATGCCCCGTTGGCGGGGTTGGTCTCCAGTGTGGGGTGTGCAGGAGGCAGCCGATCAATGATTCTCTCTCATCATGGGATGTTTCTATCTTTCTGTCTCCCTCTCTGAAATTAGCAAAAATATATTAAAAACAAAATAAACTTCCACCCACCAGAAAATATATATATACTGGTGGCCTGGTGCACGGATACACGCACATTGAAAGGAAATTAACTGAAATAAATATGTTAATATCACTATTTGCCCTTTCTCTATAATAGAGGTGTCAGAGATGAAAGAATATTAGTAAAATGTATATGAAAATAATACACAAACTGACTAATAAATAAACAATAACAACATAATAGAACAACAAAGCCATGATATAAGAACAACAAATTATGATATAAAAATAACAAAAACATGGTATAGAAACAACATTGATAAAAACAATGCCTGATAAATTGATTAAACGTATTCTAATGTCTTCCTGTTTACCACATGATGAGTAAAAACACTTTATACGTATCTCGCATGCGCGTGAGCCAACATTTATTTTTAAATTGCCAGTGTGCATCGGATGTACCAGCCGGCCGGTCGGTTGGTTGGTTGGTTGGTTGGCTGGATGGTTGGTCGGACAGGACGATCCGTCAATTAGCCTTTTTATATATAGAGATAGATACTCGCTCCCTTATCTTTTCATGAATCTATAAATAAAAAAATCATCTTTACCTTTCAAAAAACGAAATTGCCTCCTTCACCATGATGGACCCAGCTCTTTCCGCCTTCATGGGCTGCTCGGTAATTTCTTGCTCCCTCATGAGGAGGCAATCCCAGTACAGGGTCGACTGGTAACTGTTCAGCCAGAAGTGGCCCAGTAGAAGGATGAGAAGAACCAGGAAGAGGATGAGGGCCCAGGGAACGCAGAGCATACGACTCAGTTTCCCGACAGCGAGGGTGAGCGCAGCCAGGGCGACCAGCTGCACGCAGACCCAGAGTCGGTCGCTGATGGCTAATTCCGCATCCCGGGAAGGGTCCGGCCAGCACGTGTCGAACAGACTGTATGGCATGCCGTAGAAGTAATAGAAGTAATCACCCATAGTGGTACGGGTGGCGGCAGTGGTCATTTCGGAAGTTGCAGTTTAAGCCCTGATGCCATTTCCCTGAAATTAAACACACACACACACACACACATACAACACATAATATGCTCACCTATGACAAAGACCATGAGGTCATTTTTTCATTTGAAACACTAAGCCAGTGCACAAAATGGAGTAGCTCATATTTTTCTTTCCCTTAAACATCCAAGTTCAGGATGGACTCACTTTTTGCTCTTCCGTAGTTTGCAGGTATTTGCCTGAAAATCTCGTTTCTCATTCACAGAGAGAATGAGAAATAGTCACAATATAGGTGCATGATAGAGCCAAGGTAGAGTATAGATGATGGATAGCTAGGTAGGTAGGTAGGTAGATAATAGATAGTGAGAAAGATATGCTAGAAGGTAGATGGATGAGCGGGTGGATGAATGAATGGATATATAGAGAGAAAAGTGATAGATGATAGATAGATTAGACAGATACATAGATAGAGAGATAGATGATAGATGAGTGGTAGATATATTTATGTATTTTTGGATGGGTGGATAGATTGATCGATGGACATATCAATAAACAGATAGATAAACAGATAGATGTTAATTATAGCCACAGAT